GCACCTCGTGATCACACAGGCTGGTGTGTTCTTCCATGTGGGCTTTGTTGCTTCTAAGCTAGATGGCCACTTGTTTACCTTCATGTTCTATTTTTTTTTCACGTTCTATATTTTAAAGGAAAAAAAATTCCGTTGAGAAAGAAGGCTGAGTAGAATGCTACTTACTTTCCTTCTGTCTGTCTTTGTCATATGACTGGGATCTAATGTATGCTGCAAAGATACTTTATCTATTCAACCAGCCATATCTCTTTCTTTTTTCTGTCTCTTTCTGAGAAGGGTTTGTGAAAGTAAATAGAGAACTGAAGAGAGCCAAAGTTGAAATGTTTCTATTTCCATCCAAGAGAATGGTATAGAGAAAAATCTTCTTGAGGACTCTCTTGTCCAATTGATTTGGGTTTGACTTTTTCACCATTTCAAGCAATGATGCTCTCTTCTGAGGAAAATTAAAATGGACTAATCTCAGTGTAGACTCTACTATATGACCATATGCCTTTATTTTTCTTCTTGTCTTTCTAGGCCATCCAGATTATGAATGGAATAATTATTCTGGCCCTGGGCATTTTTCTATGGGCCATGCATTACGAGTTCAATGTCTCCAGGACCTTCTCTTTGTTTATTTTCTACACAGGCTATCCACTATGGGGAGCTGTGCTTGTGAGTATGCAATAGCCCTGACCTTTGATCACTTCCTAGCACCATTTGGAGTCTAATGCTTTCTATTAAAGGACTGTTCATAGGTTATTTGAACATTGCATGCTGTTAGTCCTACTTGTAATTCTTGACACAAAGACATATTTTTAAAATGTCTTTCTTTTTGATTTTGAAAACAACAAATAAAGAAAACCAATGCAACTCTCAATTGCTGAGTACAATTTAGGTCCTGAACTATACCTAAATACCTAAATATATATATGTATATATATTTCTACTACTACATAATTCTATTGAAAATGGCATAAGAAGAATGAGTGTTGATGAATTGTCCTGTGGCACAGGAAAGTCCTGGCTTGAAATAGAAGTAATTTGCTGGTTGGTTTCTATTTAAAAATGAGACTATTGACAGCATTGCGAAGGAAATGGTTGAAACTTAATATTTTTTTATCTGCTTGATTTTCTGCATTCAAATAGTTTATCAGTTCTGGCTCAATGTCTATCGCCGCAGAGAGAAAAAACACCAGGAAGATGGTAAGTGGCAGTTCTTTACCCCATGTTCATAGGCGTAGAAATAAATGATGCATGAACCATACATACCCTTTCGTTATCATCTCTGTTTCACTTGATTTCTTGAGTCTTTGCAGTAAAGGGTCAGCATGCTGTGTCTGATGAGGATGCTATCTTGGTTTTGGCTCCTTCTCATAGACTTTTCAATGGCTGACCTTTTTTTTTATTAAATAAAATCATCTGGCTTTCTTCTGAGGTGCCTCGTGAGCCGACTCAACCCTTCCAACTTTCAGTTAGGAGATGACAGCATTAACTGGGTGAACCACCTCTCCCTGTTATTGAGTCAATTCTGACTCAGTCACTCGACAAGAGGAAGATGAAGGGGCAATTCTACTTTGTCCTTTTGGGTTGATATGAATTTGTACTACCTCATGACCTAAAATCCAATTGCTCCAAACTCACTCTAATCCTAATCAGGCTTTCAGATCTCTTTAAGATCACCAAAGACTTCCACATGCCGGACGAAAAGAGGCATTCTTGGTCATCCTGTAACAAGATCCACAAGTGGCAGTTGGCTTAGTTGTTTATTAACTCCTACTTCTGATAATTTCTCCTTTGGGCATTAAGCCATCTTGATTGACTAGTTTCTCTACTGTTCCTTAGTGTCCTTTCTTAATTTCCTGATTTCTTTCCTCCTCCTTGATGTTTTGGTGTGAGCGGGCACAGATCTAAATTCTTTGTCACTTGCTTTGCTCAATCTGTAGTCACTCCTTTGGTGATCTCATCCATTCTCACGAATTCAAGTAACAGCTATATGTTCCCAACATTAACTGTTTCCAACCTAGATCTCTTTCTTGAGTCCCAGGCTGGTATCTTTAGAGGTCAAAAATTCAACTCCTAATCTCTCAAATTTCAAAGGTCAAAAATTAACTCCTAATCTCTTTCAAATTTTTCCACCTATAGTCTTCTTCCTGTCAGCTGGTAGGGACTCTATCATTCTGGTCGCAGTGGCCCCAAATCTCATTAGAATGATTCTGGTCTTCTTGCTTTTGTAATCCTACCTTCAACTTGTCAGCACACCCTACTGGTCCTACCTTCAAGTTATATAGTAGTTGGATCTTTTCCTCATCTTTAGTCCAGTAACCCTTGTTCAATCTACCATCATCAGTCCTAATGGAGGTCCTTGACACCTGCCTGGGCTAGCTGAAGACTAGTCTTAATCCAGATAGTAGAGTGATTCCTTCACACTATAAATCTAATGATGCTGTCCTTTGGCTCAAACCCCCTCCCAAGTGTATATATATTTTACCAGGAGTAAGAACCAGCATTT